GATTCTAAGAGTACTGTACTTTCACTTTCCAATAACTTAGGCTTGAAATGTCCAATTTCAATGAATGACCCCTCATTTTAAAGATCACATACTCAGGTATCTGAAAATACTAATAATAAAAATTCAATTTTTGCTACAACTTAGCCATTTTGCCACAACATGCCTCATTTTCATTTTGCTTATGCATTAGTACCTGGTCATAGATTTTCTTACTTTTTGGTGCCAGGTTGCACTACCTAGTCCAGATGAATATCTCTGGACTAGTAAAATAATGTATAGTACATGTTCACCATTAGAAGTACTTACCAATGCACAGCCACCAGTCAAAACTATACCATCAAGTTTTGGGTTGTCTTCAACAGAAGTGAACCTTTCCAGAAATAAATCAATCTGTTCACAAATTATGAGGGTAAATACATATTGATTTGTGGCAGATACATCCCTTGCATTCTGTTCATCAAGTGAATTTTCTTCTAGCGACTGAAATGAGAAGAGTATTTGAAATAATAAGTCATTTTGTCAGCTAAACTGGTAGAAAACGACTGCGGATGCACCGAACATTGGCAATCATTTGGTTCCCTGTTCATCTCCATCCTTGCTCTTGTGTTTCAACTGGCATAGAGTGCTGAAATACAATCATTGCATCAGATAGTTTTATTTTAGTTTATATTTTCAATAATATGATTTATTGGTAAATTGTTTTGAACGTTATACCTCCCATTATAACTGCAGTTTACTTATACTTATTAATATAGTTCACTATTTTTTCAGAGGACAAGTTTTAGTCAAGCATGCATTACTTTTGTATTTGAACATTTTATAGGCTGATGTAAGGAAATCTCCACCACTCTGTGACTATACTCATTATGAGGCTAACGCACAATAAATTACAGTACAGTTCAGATCATGATGATGACTTTTAGTTCAAACTCTAGTCTTGAGGTGAAAGCTTTGGAATCCCACGATATCTATTCTATTGCTATCGTTGGACAAGGAAGTTTATGAGTGTCATAGCAATAGAAGAATCAGTAGTCTCGCTCAAATGCTACAATGATCTGTGTAAAACGAAAATGGAAGCACTTTGAGGGTGACGAAGCTACATGCCCATGTTCACCTCTCTGCATATTCCAATGCATTGAGGACACTGGATTTACGTATCCCGTACAACATATTCTATTTTATAGTGTAAAAGGTATCAACAATGATGGCATTACTTACCAGTCCTATTCTGTGACCAAGTTGAAAGAATAATCCCAAGTCATTAGTGCGAAGCTCATAGTACTCCCTGAATGCTGGAATCCATTCCTTACGGACATTACCCAAAGCTGAGTATCCCATCATCTATAAAAATGTATTCATAAAAAAAAAAATAATAATAATCTGGCTCTTAGATCAAAACATACCAGGTTCTTAACAACAGATAAAAATAATAAACAGATGTCTCTGAATGAATTCCACAAAGGTGATTTGTCATAGCGCCCTCATATTTACCTTTCCTGTCAATGCTAGAGGAGCATGGCCTGTATACATATGCATCACATTTGGGTTGAATTCCTTTTTAGTAATTGCAGGAATAGTACGGGTAAGAGAACGGTACCGAATCCCAAGGTTTAATGGAACCTGAAAAATACGAACAACAAATATTTATTGCAATATGTTATAGAAAAAGCTACTGCGTTTCTTAATTACAAGGTTATTTAATTGACAATTAAAAAAAAAATCATGGAATGTAATTGCTTTATGCTGTGCTTTTACTCAAACTTTCAACCGTGAGGTCAGGTAATGATTAAACGCCAACATCAAAGTTTAGTTTAGTTGCATAAGACAATGCATAATGAACTTATCCAAATGCTGAATAGGCATTGATGAGCGCATAAACAGATTTGATGTAGATGTTTCGATCAGTGGACAAGTGTTTGATCATGACAGTAGCATGTAGTTGCAAGAGACATGATGGTGAAAATATCAGGCTGGAAGAGTAACAAGCAGAAATTTATGTTTTTCTGCAAAACAGGCTCTAAGTTATTTAAAGTCTATACTACAGTAATTAGTGTGCGTTTGATCCCAACTATCCCACTATTTTTGAGAAACCCATTACTTACTCTTTCTATATGTTTAATTCCATCACTTCTGTTGCCGTGATAGACGTTGAATGCTCCATCATTTCCTCCTCCATCATATGAAAAGATTAATGCATCATTGAATGGTGAATCATAGAATCCAAGGGAGGCATGGCAGTCATGGTGGCTGGCAGTTACCCACCTGAAACAAGGAAATAAATAATATTGATTTCTGATGGTGGAAAAAAAATAAAAATAATATTTTGGCTTTTTAATTTAGAAAATAGTCTTGCAAAGAACATCCAGACGGAGGAGAAAATGAAAATAACATTTTATTGTTGAATGTAAACAGTGTAGGAATAGGATGGTTAAATGCTTTAAATTTATATAATTATGAAGAAATATACATATCTTGTTTTTAGAGATTTCAAGGCAGTAGCGGACATGATAGAAGTGAAGAAAAACTTTAATTTCTTCCTGAAATTTATATTTTTTTTGTACGCTAATTAGCTAAAATTAAAATTTTATTTTTATTTGAAATCATTATTCGCAAGTGCCAGGTTCGTTAAAACAAGGTATAAAAAAAGTATCGCCTTCTATTTAAATTGCTCATTTCAGCTTTCAAATGAAAATTAAAGAAAAAATGTTTTTTTCCTCAATATTTATGAGTTCCTATATATTATTCAGGAAATTGGCTAGAAGACATTTTTAAGAATTGTTTTAGCAAGAAGTCTGTAAATTGGTGACTGTTTGCTTCTTTTTATGCCTTATCTCATTTGAAATCGATACTTTTTTTCTGATCTGTGATGGTATTTTCCAGGTTGAATTACAGACAGTAAAGTATTTTTAATAACCTATCAAGGTTTACTTGTTTTTCTCCAGGTGACAATTGCATGTCATATGTATGAGAATAGACTTGAACTGAACTTGATAATAATAAGTTCTTGTAAGCACCAATTTTCACAGTGCTCTTGGAATTATTCTAGAAGAAAACAGGAATACGCTTTTGATTATGGTGAAGCCTGAGGAAGCTGAGGACAAGAAATGAGGAATTCACTACTATCAATCATGGGCTTTGGCTGGTGGTAGGCTGGGGCCAAAGTAAGTTTTCATTGGAGTAGGCATTCTTTTTTCACCAACCCCCCCCCCCCCCCCCCCCCCCCACCTCCCGACTGCCTATGCCCCTGACTATACACAAGTCCTACCTAGCAATGGAAAAAGCTTTAATTATGGGTTTATATACTGTTAATTAAGGTGAATGTATAAAATAATCTGGGAGATTTCTGCAACCGGCTTTCCAACTGATGTTTATTTTTACAGTATCACTAAAATTGATGACACTCATGGCCACACTATTAGAGTCAAGTTAATAGATATAAACCAATTTAAAGTAATTAATTATTATGTGTAATGAATTCAATGAAATATATACATAATGTCAATTGATTCAATAACAGAACAAGGTCACAATCAACTTCAATCAAGAATCAAGTGAAAATATAACTGAGATCATAGCTCAGTGGCTATCTGATTGAAGTTCGTAAAAAACGACTCCCGATTCACCGTCGGAATTCCTAATTTTTGCTGCTATTTATGGTCATTATATTGCATCTATCTGGCTAACAATGGAGCCAAATGCAAGGCTAATCTTCCAATACCATTTTTCATGGGCTTCTAAATGTTCATAAAATCTTATTTTCCCTTATTAAAATTGCATTCATTCATAGGCCTACTAAAAGTTAGTAGTTCATTTCATGAAGTAGTACAGTAAATTTGCATGCTATGCACTTGATCAGTACTTAAGACAAACATGATTTATAAATTAAAAATTTGTATATGTTAGCATATAAGATGACCCCATGTTTTTTCTGATCAAAATTTGCTATTTTATACATGAGAATATAGGGTATACAGCATAATTTTTAAAAAATAATATAGGTAGCACTTTTTTTAAATGTCATAACATTCATGAGTTTAACGTTTAAATGAAAGTAAAATTCTGTCCACTGTGCTCAATGCTTGTGCCTCACATTTTAAAACAACAGTTAACCTGAATAATAGTATAATATCAATACATTAACTTTACACTTGAAGGCCATCAATTTAAACTCTGTCATTCTTAATATTGTCACAGATCCCGAATGTCCCACTTTCAGTGATATTGTCCCACATTTAGCATATCTGTCATGTCAAGGCCTAAAAATGTCCCACTTGTACACAAATTGCTTTGCAAATCTCTACTAAAAGAAAATTTGTGAATATCATATCATGTATACCATGGGGAAGGGGAGATGCAGTGTGTCCACACCATCCCCACCCCCAATTGTAAAAGGTCAAAGTTTTTAACACATTCAAGCATTAACTGAATATTAAAATGTGGTTTTCAATTATTCCATTATAATTAAGATGAAATTAAACATTCAGTACGTGTATTCCACGGTAAATGACGTTACATTTCATCCTTTATATTCACATACTCACTTTATATTATAAATAGGAAAACCTAATTATTGCTTATTGCTAGATGGTAGTAGGCCTACTATTAGAAGTGAGTGAAATACAGGAATACCAATTTAAACTTTTTACCATTTGTGATACAGATTTAGAGGACGAAATGAGTGTAACTAACGTTACATAATTTAGACACGCAAAAACTAGGAATTAAAACAAATTCCGATATCTTATGTCCGAGCGACATTACGCTTATTTGTAATGTTAGATTATGTAGAAAACAATTTTAAATTTATAAAGGGACACAATTGGATGTTTTTTTGAGATACTTATAATTTAAATTAATGAATTCTGTGCTTAATTTGAGCCAGGAAGCTTAAATACAGTTATACTTGCCTAAGTCGACTTCGCCTAATCGAATAATTTCAAAGTCGATCTAATTTTACATGCCAAATTGTTGTGTTTTCCATTAATTGACAATCTGTAAGTCAAATTTTATCTAGTCGAACAATATTTCAATGGCATTTTGGATTGGACTTAGGCAAGTTCAACTATAGTACAAAATAAGATATCACACAATTTGTCATATACTACAAAATAACAATTTTAAAGATATAAACATAATCAAATATATAGACTAATGACAATATGCCAATAGTGGGTTTAAATTTCTACAAAACAGAACAATTTAATTACTTTGATAGTTTTGATAAATTACCTAGAGCTTATTGATGGATGTTTCATTATTGCCACCAGTTGGTAAATTACTGTATATTATAGGTTATAACACTACAGTAACTGATGTTACATACCGTACATTTAATAGATTATTAGGAATTTTGTTACTTCATTTGGAAAGAATATATAAGATATTTGAGGCATAGTTAGAAGAGAAGAATTATTAAGTATCATCAGGCCATTATGGTATGGTAAGATATTATTATTAACTGACGCTACATTGGAGGATATAAATTTCAATTTGTAAACTTCAACATTTGAAAAAAAGGAGCTATATTTACCAACCGTCTCACAGCGTGCGGGATGGTCCAGCATTTTAAAGTGATTTTTGATGAAACACGCATTTTGTAAAAACACATGCATGATCATAAATTTGTCATGCATTTAATCTATGCAGGGAATTCAGGGAAAATGTATTTAAAATTAGAAGAAATTGGTTTTATTAAAAATATAAAAACGGTCATGCAGTAACATGAGTCAATAGAAGGCTTTTGTTATCTTGTTCGAGAATCAATTCATTGAGAGCTGCTGTATAGTCATGCATTTCAAATCTCTCAGGTTGGTAACTATGAATTTATAGCTACTGATCAGCAGAGTATGTCCCAACTGATAGCTCAATACCAACATAAAATCCAGATTGGTAAAGTCGAAAATAAGTCGATATAATTGTTATAAAGTAGTGTCATATACTATAGGCTGTATTATAAAACTACAGTAACTGACGTTTATGCACTTTCAATATCAATTTTCAGGATTTTATTTTGCACAATAATAGGCATGCTATTTGAGGCATAGGTAGGAGAGATAAATTATGAAATACCATCAGCCTATCATTGTATGGTAAGAAATTATTAAGAAAAGTAGACGTTTTTGGTAAATGACGTTACATTGTAGGAGAAATTACAATAATGCAATTTTCTACATTAGACAATAGGAGGAGCTTAATGTAGCTATGTATATCAGCAGAATATGTCCCAACTAATAATTCAATACCATAAATACATGGAATTACCCAGTATTTGAAGATTACAGATGCCACAGTATGATAATTCGAAGCTGCAATCCAAACGGCTCTGCCCCTTGACATTCATGTAAACTGCATTTTAGCATACCCTACACCTCCATTGACAATCTTTAATTGCCCTGTAATTGTACGTGAAACTGAGGATAAAATGGACTTCAGAATTTTCAATCTATGTTAAAACTAATTTGGATATACTTGATATACTGGATTGATATATCGATGCAAAGAATAGATGTCACAATTAAAGCTAAATTTAAAACTTTTAATAAATTTGATATGGAATATAAATTTTTGTTGTAATTAGAATTACTTATTAAAAAGTCTTGCTAATAGCATGTAAAAATTATCACCAAAAATAATTGCAAAAAAAGATTACAAGTTTTTAAGAAAATAACTATAAGCAGAGCTATATCTTCAAATCCCCTTTTGTAGACAAAATCGTCAAAAAGATGTCAAGTAGTGTGTTTAATACCAGGCTAGAAATCACTGAAGGTAATTAGTTAATATTACGCTGCCAATGTGATGGTGACAAATTCTCTTTGGGAAACTGCGTTGAACTTCATATTAGCATAGGCAAGCATGCAGATTGTTTGAAATAACCACTATATTACTGTTACATTAACTATCTTTAACTTCAACCAAATTAATTGCATGATTCTCTTGAGTATATATTCTGTAATATAAACCGGATTTGATATTTTGGCCTTGCCAAAAGACTATTAGGTTTTGAAGCATGTATTTGTTTTCTGTTGACATTTAATTTAAAGTCAGGCTCCAGATGAAAACATTTTTTTGATAATTTCTACAACTGATTTTTTTTAAGAGGAAAAATGTGTTAGACTAAAAACTTGGGAAAGGTTAATGAGATACAGAGTTTTGATTACTATATTTAAAAAGCCTTGGAAAAATTAAGGTGGAAAAAAAGGATGATTACTCCTTTTTTTCCACCCAGTTTTTAAATACAGTATTCAAAAAACTGTACTGTATGTTATTACCATTCCCAATATTTTTTGCAGACTGTTTAAAAAAATAGCCACTTTTTACTGATTACATAAGAAAGAAAGAAATGGAAATTGCTTCAGGAAGGCTTCATCCAGCAGTGGATGAACGTAGCCTAGATGATGAATAATGATTACATATTTACCTATCATTAATAACTTCAACGAAATCAGTTGCATGATTCTCTTGAGTAGCTATTCTCTAATATAAACTTGATTTGATATTTCGGTCTTGCCAAAAGACTATTAGGTTTTGATAAAGCATGTATTTGTTTCCTGTTGACAGGCTTCAGTTGAAAATTTTTCTTTGATATGTTGTACAACTGATTTTTCTAAAAGGCAAAAAGAGTATTTGAAAAAAACTCGAGAACGGTCAATAAGATACTTATTTATTTAAAAAGTCTAGAAAAAAGGATGATTTAACCTCCCCTTTTTCTCTGAGTTTTTAAATACAGTATTAAACAATGTGTATCTCATTTTCCCAACTTTTTTCCCTCTTAGAAAATCAGTTGTACAACAAACCCAACCTTGTTTTCCCTCAGAAGCCTGGCTTAAAAAAAAATCATATTTCTTATATATCTGTACTGTGTGTGAAAGCACTGGTAAAAAGTATTAAAAAAAAAGGCAAATAAAAGCTTGAGTATATGTAAAGTTTATCAGTGGATTCACTGGTTCATTTTTGTATAGCTAGCTTTAATACACAACATGATATACAAAGCTCTACTATGTTGGTATTCAACTCAACATGGGCCTAATTTAAGTAGCACAAGAGAGGGTATTATTATAAATGAAGTATAACAGTCACCTTACAAACAAATACCACTGTCATACTGTTTCAATTAGTATAGAGTTTGTATTTAAATGTAATTCACAATAATGACGACATTATTAAAGTCCTATATACTTACTGATCAGCTTTAACCAGAGTCTTCAAAAGTTTAAGAGGAGTTGGCATGACCCTTGGAGAAAAAATAAGATAAGAAATTCAATACGTGATATTAGCAAAATATAATTAAATAAATTAATTACTGTACTCCGAGTCCAAGTCTAAAAAAAAAAAATCTAAAATACAAATGTCGACATCAACTGTTGTGTAACATCATTTGAATCACTGCTATACCAAGAAATGCTTAAAAATGATCTCATATGACTTCAGTACATTATTATGAAATCCTTTCCTGTTAATATATCAAGTTAAGCTAATGTTTCCAACCACTGTGTCATCTTAAAAGCCTTAAATTTCTGTTAAGCTCAAGTCCAACATTCTTGTCATGACTGACGCATGTACGTGCTAAATCCAGCAAGCTGATTAACAATGTTGTTTATGAAAGTATTCAATAAGCCAGAAATTTTGCTCTTATATTTATTGACATAACAAATAAGAAGATACTTTGTGATCAAAGGTTAACCAGGGTTGATGTCAATCCTGAATATACAGTATTTGTACAGTTATGTAAAAACAATGGAATTGAGAAGGCACTCACAACTCACTAGAACAAAAATTAATGACATAAGTAAATTATTAACTGTAAAAATATTGCTTAAATATTCAAAAATATTGTTTAGATACTGTATTTGAAATTGGTGATGGCTATACCTATACAGTTATTCAGTATAATTTGTCATTTGTAAAATATTTTACATTAAAATACAATAGCAAGGGTCTGTTTATAAATAAACAGAAATAATTAACTATACTGTATCAGGTAATAATCTATTCCATGCCGTACACCATCCCGGTATTTCTGAGTCAAGACACCAACACCAACATAAAGTCTGTTCATCTATATGGTTCGGAGACACGAAGAACAACCAAAGATAACCAAAATAAATGCCTTATTAGATCCATAATGAACATATACTGGCCGAAAACAATCAGCAATGAACAACTTTGGGAAAAGAATGATCAAGAAAAGGTAAATGAACAGATTTGCAGGTGCAAGTGAGGCTGGATTGATATATCACTTAGAAAACCACCAGATAACATCACCAGACATGCACTGAGAAGGATCCCCACCCCCAGCGTAAAAGAAAACATGCCCAAGAAACAGCAGGAGACGAACTGTGGAGGATGAGGCAAGGGAGGGCAGGGTACTCTCTGGACCAGTTAGAAAGATAGCCTAAAACAGAGTGCGATGACATGCTATTTCCAAGGACCTATATTCCACAATTAGTTGAAGGGAAAAAGTCACTGTATTTGGATTAACAAAAATGTGGCAAAAACATGGATCAGGTAATCATTGGTATATATTTGGAAATTCTAATAACTGTTTGTGGTTCAACTAAATCCCAATCATATATTGTAAGGACAATTTTCAAGTTGCATACAGTCACCATTGTACACACACTGGTATTATACGAAGATGACAATTTGAATGGGGGAGGCGGGTGGGTTTCAGTAAGCATAAAATCTATGAAATTGAAGGATTGAATTAAATTGTCTTCGCAAGACCAAGCAAAAAAATGGAATGGTCAAATTTAATACGATTGATTAGTTTGATGCAGATTTAAAGGCACTTCCTTTTTTTAAAGCCCTATAAATAAACTAGTTCCCCATATAACCCCCCTCCCCCACACACACAGCAATAGCAATGTGGTACTCCAGCTAAAGATAGCAGGCCCAATCCAATCCAATCCAATCAGAACATTTGTAAAGCGCCTTTCTTTGCATACAAAGCGTTGCACCCCACATACTTAGGCACCCCACAGGCAGCGTGATCATTGCCTAACCCAAGCCCAGAACAAGTATAACAAATCAAAAGAAGCAGTGGCAAAGTTTGGAATCATAAGTAAATAATGCAACAATAAATAAAATAAGAATAAAAATGGGATAATTAGTTAAAGAGGTGAGTCTTTAAGTTAGACCTAAAGACAGCCACAGATGAAGATCGAATGTGCACTGGAAGGTTATTCCAGATGAGTGGCACCTCGCATGGAAAAGATTTAATTGTTACCAATACGCTTTTTAAAGATAGGTTGATGGAAATTAACATTCAAAGCTGATCTGTTACAAAGGCCCACCACATGGTTGTTAATTTTCAATGCACTTTGTTTGTGAAATAAACAAATAGGCCTACAAGTTTTTTTTGTATTGAATCTATGTGCGCAAGAAGCAAAACACAACTGTTCAGAAAATGTGTCTTAATTAAATTATATCAAACTTGTTTATGAATATAGTACAGTATGTTGTTCGGTGCTGAGAAATGGCTCTTTTGACCTGTTGAATCTCAAACATTTCTCAGAACAACAATTGAGAGTCAACCAATCAGAGAGTGACTTATGACATTGATGATCTCCAAGGAAACAACATGGCCTACCTACAATGAAAATGTTTTTCAATTGCTTGTCCACTATGCTATACAGAAATGAAACTAGCAACAACCTTGTTTTTTTTTCTTTGAATCGGAAAAATTGTTTGCTCTATGCGTATGGATTAAAGTATTCAGAAAATATCCGCTGTCATCTTGAAGTCATTCCAAAGAAAATGTTAATCTACTCTTAAGATTATAAAATCGGCTTATATCATTTTGTAAGCTTTGCTTTCCTCAGATAAACTTCTTTACACCCTGATCCTACTATGTGTTTGCTTGCCGACACATGATTGAGATGTTCTGCTCTCACAGTTGAATTTATGATTTCCTGGATACTAAGCCAGGCTCTGAGAAAAATGAAATCGATATGTGACAAAGACAAGCCAAACCTGTCACTCGACAAAAAATTCATCCTTAGTTATTAATACAGAGTTAAACAGTAAAATGAGAGCTATAAAATGGTCAAAGAATCATTTAAATCCAACATTTCGTTATAAAATTACAGGAGTTTAAACATACAGCTGTTAAAAGAACAATATTTGAGAAATGAGCCTTCAAAGTTTACGATTTCAGGCATTTCTTAGTCTAAAACCATCATCAAATCATTAAATATTGTTGTTTTAAAATTGAAAATGAGAAAAATAGAGCATAGCATTAGCATGATGTATATAGATATATAAAGGTTAGATAGTGCAATAAAATAGATTTCCAAAATTTTGACATTCCAGCATGTTTTGCCCATTATCTCCAAAAGAGGATTTGCAATGAGTGACTGGTTTGGCTTGTCTTTGCCACATATGTTTTAAGTTTCTTTAATATTTAGAAATCTGAATCTTCTCTATTCTTAGTTCAGTGTCAACAATTTTCTCCTCAGGAGCCTGGCTTGATGATACAGTTAGCATTTATTCAATAATTACTTTGCTCAGGTTCACAAGTTGTATTACATTATCGGTAGCATACTTAATTTTGAAAATACTGATGTATATTTATGAAGTATATTCAAATTATTATAAAGCTCTGTGGATCATTAAAAAACAAAACTGTGATGTCATAAAATACACCTTTAACTGAATGTTTTATTTCTTAACAATGTGACTATTTTGTGGCAGGACCCTTATATTTTATCAATGGTCAATTGAGGTGGTACTGAATAGCCACAAGTTATACTACATAACTGTATGCCTATCACATACCATTTCAATTTTTATTCTGCGCTGCAAACCATGAATCTATTTGCACATCAGACACCCTAGAGCAAAATCCCTTCTTTAAATGTCTGCCATGACATAAGGCCTAGATGATATTATGCCTATTAACATTCAGATAATCAGAGTTTCACTTATTAGTTAAAATGGCACTTGCCTCTGGTGTCTCTTTATCATATAAAAATGCTGATGAAGCATAAAATTATTCTGGGAAAAAAAGTAAACGATAAAAATGTCTCTAGTAGTAGAAGACAATACAGTAATTAAAATGGTTTGGGGCTTGCATTGCACATAATATCTGAAGCTTTATTATGGATATCTGAAAGATTTTCATTTAAATACAAGCAGAAATATAGAAATTCTATCACTGTCTATTTAGAAAAAAATTTAAATCAAAATAAATAAAAATCATTAATATTGTGACAGTTTCTATAGGGCATAAGGTATGTTTAAAGAGGTGTTGAAAACAGATGAAAAGCTCTGGAGAAAAAAAAGAATTTCTTGGTGTCTTGTGATTTCTTCAAACTATAAAATTGAGGGAAAAAAAATGTGTGTTTTCAGTCTTCTTGAATAAGTTTACATAATGTCCAATGTATAACTTTCATAGTGTAGGTGCTGCGATGCAAAACACATAAATGGTCAGAAAGTGAAGCTACATTCATAAACTAAGAAACACATTTCACCAACATACACCTCTGATCTCATCAAACTATGATCTTCAACCTGTGCTAGATCCCTTAGGTCGACTACCAGTACATCGGTTTTGTTTGTCCCTTCCAGTCGCCTTAAAACATACGGTGAGCGAGCCTTTACAGTTGCAGCTCCTAAACTATGGAACAGCGTAATACCCGAGTCGATCCGTCAGTCACCCTCAGTGGGTGTGTTCGGTTGAAAACCGATCTTTTTAGTTCAATTTAAATCAATCTTCAGGCCCGTATCCAAGGGGAATTTTTATGGTTCGGGAGAATCCCCCTTTTCTAGCAAACCCTCCTCTTTTATGGTGAACCCCCCTCTTCAAATTTCCCAAATAAGTCCTCCAACCCAACTAATGCACTGCAGACCCACCCAGACACAGACGTTTTCAAACATATCTGCTTTTATAACATTAGTTAGACCCATAAAGCACAAAAATCCTCTTACTTTGGGGGTTCTGCAGACCCCACCGGGGCTTCGACCGTGGACATCACGCCCAGAAAACCCCCCCTCCCGCTTGGAAGGACCTGGCTACGGGCCTGATCTTTTATTTCTTATTTTTACTTTAATCGTCTTGGGACGATCTGCTGATCTACTACATTACATTACACCTACATTACAATACAACTACATTTCAAAAATACTTCTCTTAATATACAAATGACATTTATGTATGAGATTTCAAACCAAAAACAAAGGAGATTGAAAAACTTGCTGTTTTCAACTAGTGTTTGAACAATCTAATTAGTACAGTATTATTATTTTTTTCAACTTAAATTAAAAACTTACCAACTTGTAACCGCAATATCAAATTCATCAATTTTAGAAAATGCCTGAACCTTTTGGATTGCTTCACTCCACTGTTTCAGGAACACATCTCGCTTCCTGTTAAAAACAAGAAAAAAGAAATGAAACTGCAGCTACAAAACAGTTTGATTATTATTAAAGGAACATAATATGTTAAACATTACACTCTACCTCCAATTAAAGACCACTTTTGGGCAGTGGCGGACCGTAGGGTAAATTGCAGGGTATACTAGGTATTGTCATATCTAGGATGTGCGATGGGCGCCCATGTCCCCCCCCCCCCCCCCCAAAAAATACTCGCCCATCCCCCAGTTGCATCCCCAGCCAACAAATCATACTCAAGTTAGTTAAAATCACCTTATTTTGCGAGTTAGCCCCTCCCTCACACTCACCTAATCACTGATCCCCCACCTTCCCACCCCCATCACCTCCCTTCCATTTCAAGACCCCTATGCCACTGATGCTAGGGCCTGCTGGTAGGAAAAGTTTGTAAAGCTTACTACTATACAGAATCAAATTGTGTTCTATAGTCAAAATACAAATGTACTGGAATGTTATTTTTAATACCGGCATGGTTGTAGTATCTTCTCTTTCCTCCTGTATTTTAACAAATTCAATTCAAATAATCATAATTCAAACCAGTCATATGTATAAAAATTTATTTAAACTTTAACCATATAGGCCTATAGATCGAATACCCGATCGACAGTGGAGGTCCCGATCTGCAGGAAGAAGAGCATGCGCACCTACTGTACTCTTAGAAGCTCTCTTAAATTGGCTATTCTGACGCCATCACATGGTTGTCACAATAGCAATTTTAAGCATTGTACTGCAAAGTATGCTCTGACACCCACTGACTCACTGAATACGTAATCGGTTGATATTGAAAACCAGCCATGCTAAAATTCTAAGCAGCTGAGAATACGATGCGATAGGCCCAACTGTGACTTAATATTCTAGATACCAAAGTAGGCCAAACATTAACAACTTTGCTATTCCAATGAACTGTAGCAATCCACTCGAAAAATTGAGGTTTATATAGAAGATTCTAAGAAATGCTAAATAAAACGGAGCAACTACTATATTTATTTTTATATGTTTTAGCCAGGGTATGCACTGCATACCTTGACAGTCAGCCACTGCTTTTGGGACTGGCATTTCTAAGGTCTCTTTGATATCTAATTAGAATAAAAGATATTGGTTAATTTGGGACCCCAGAAACATGGTCTTTCATTTGACGGGTCTTTAATTAGAGGGAGACCTGTATAATAGGTTTGTCACACTGTGAGACTAGAAAAAGTCATGAAAAATTTGTCTGAAAGTCTAGCGGACCCTATGCAGACCCTTTTTTCTCAACGGACAGGAAAATATTTTTGCAGATCCCTTTGGTTAGGAACCACTGAAATCTACTGTAATCAAATAAGAATTGTATAGCTAGTAGTGTACAGTATTGTAAGCTATATTTCAAAATGTACATGATGAAAATACTGTATGCGTAAAGTATATTTTATGGAAATAACTACATTTTTTAAAATTTATATTAGAAACATATGAGTGTCAAATCATTTGATGGCTTGGGACATCCAGTTTTGGATCAGAATCAAACAAATTTAATTTTTTAATCAGCTCATCTTATAAATTTCATGAAAATTATATCATAAAAAAAAAAACTGATTATGCAGAAGCAGATTACATTCAAGCAGACGTGATCACAACAACTTCTGACAGTTTTGAGCACTTTTGCATAAATTCTCAAATTTATTTGGTTTTGATTTTGAATCTTGAAATAAATACTAAAATCAAGATATTAATTTCCTATAATCTGATATCGATTTGCAATGACGTGGAAATGTCAAGTAAAATTGACACAAAAATTAAACAAATCTTGCTCATGCAATTGTGATACACTAAGTGCTTGCACATATTTATTATGTTCTCAATTGTACGTGTATGTGTAGCTTTAAAGTAACAGTTCTTTATGTGTATTTTTATTCTCAAAATATGATGTTTGCAGCTCTAAAGGGACAAGTCAACATGTAATTATGTGCATCATCTCAAAATAAAATGCAAGTATAGCATTAAAGGGGCAGTGCTTCAATGGCAACATGTTGAAAATGATGCACATAAAGCACTGTAACTTTAATGCTACTGTACTTACATAGAATTAAAAGACACAAATTACAAAAAATAATTATCCATTATCCATAATTATACGCATAGAGTGGAGATGTAGGTTGGTGGTTAAGATGCTTGCCTTCCAATCCCAGGGTCCTGGGTTCAAATCCTGTGACACAATAGGGATTTTTTTCACATCTGGATTCCGTCCCTAGGCCATTAGCCTTGTCCACCACTCTCTTCCACTTCCATCTCCCACAACCATAAGTGCTCAAAGTACTGATTGTTTGAGGTCTTGTTTATTATAGTTTGATCTATGTGTGTTTAGGTCTTCCTCTGTTTCCTTTTGCTTTCTCTATGTAATCTTTGCTGGTGTCTGTTTTGATAGTCGTAGCAAGTGCCTTAGCCAGTTAACTCTTCATCTTTTACCTTTTTTTAATAGTTCAGTTTCTTCTGCTTTACTGTTTAGGTCTGCATTATTGACTCTATCTGTTCTTTTTATATGTGGAAATTCTTCATAATAAAGATGTTTGAAAGACATTTATGCCTTAATCAATCTTATTTGTTGCTGTCCACAGCTCACCATTATATAATAGAAGTGGATAGACAAGCATGTGAAATATTTGTTGTTAAACTGTTATCAATGGCGTATACCTGAGGCACAGTGCTCTTGAAAGCATTTACGGCTATACTTTTTCGTCTTTTATGTATTTTTCTGTACCTAGCATGTATACGTTGAACTACCTTCCAAATTCTATTTCAATTTGTTCCAACTGTGAACTTCAGTTTTACCAGTGTTTATTGTTAGGTTCCTTTATTTGACTTTATACGTACATGAAAGTTCAAAGGGGCAAGTCACATTTAATAAAGCATAAGTTCTCAGAAGAAGATTTACTTTTGAATTAAATACAGTCTCTTTAATACATGCATCATGTTCCCAAAATATGATAAACGTATACCGCCTTCAATGGGACAAGTCACAGTCACTTTTAATGTTCTCGAAAATAAAATGAACATGCGAGTGGATTTGAATAGCTTGGTGGTTAGGATGGTTGCCTTCACAATCAGGGGCAGATTGGGGGGGGGGGGCCCCGGCCACCTCTTTTGGAAGGTAAAAAAAAAAAAAAGATAGAACTATATCTTTGTCTAAGGTTACTATTAATAGATATATCTTCGTAAGTCTTCTACGAATGGATACCTTGTTCAAAACAAGAAATCAAGTTGTCTTAACCAGTTTTAAAGAACTTAAAGGTCATCAAAAGACTCATCAAAAGTCGGGAAAGCTCATTTCCGGCCATCTAGGAATCAAAATTCTTGCCGGGGGAAGGTCCCCAGGACCCCCTTTCATTTTGGTGTTTTTATATTTTTTAGACATTTTGAACCACCCTTTTTCAAATCCTGGATCTGCCTCTGTCATGTAATTATGCTTTAGTTATGTCATGTTTATCACAATGTTGAATATTGAATGTTGAACATGATGATAAGTCACAAGAATTTATGTGAAACATGTTCTCAAAATATGTAAAAGCTTTAAGGGGACAGTAACTAAATATGCACCATGATGTACCTTAAGGCTTTAAAGGGATATCTTATATGCTTATGTGCATATCTTTTCACCAAAATTAATATGTATACTGCTTTAAATGGATGTCAAATGTAATTATGTGCAACTTGTTCTAAAAATAAAATGCACCGAGACAGTCACAAAATTATTATGTTCATCAGTGGCAGATCCAGGAATTCAAAATAAAGGGGACCAAGGGAGGGAATTTCACAGATGGAGTTTTAGACCACCTCAGCCCCACCATGGATGGGACTTCTCTACATGGCCGGAAATGGCACTCTGACTTAAATTTGAGTCATAATACTTTTAGGGGGAATATAATTTAGGGGAGGGGTGGCTGGGCCAGCTTCCCCCGCCCCTTTCCTTGAATCTGCCACTGTTAAAGATGCACAAGATGTGCATGAATAGCTTTAAAATCATTGAATAGGTAAATTAAGTGAAGGATTTAGACAGCAGAACACAGCGCCTTTTTTTTAAATGTCAAAATTGCCAATGAGGGTATGATTGGTTCGTCTTTGCAACCAGTAGTACACACCTACTGTACCACGAGTGAATGGCAATCAAGTTTGAAGAGGTACTGAATGACAAGTCATTCCATCTATCTGGTGATCGCCGGAAGCAACACAGAACGAAGTGGTAGACTGAGGGTACCGTTTGCCAACATCCTCAGTCTTTCATCCCTAAAAGAATTAAACTGTTCAATGAAAGGTTTTCGAGGTAGCCATTACGAGCGATGTATATTTCCATTTATGGATCAAATAAAGAGTATGTCTATGTCTATATCACATCCTTATAAGGGCATTATGATTATGAACACATGTATTTGTCGCATAGTGTGAATAGAGCTTAAAATGTTGGCACCTTCTGCTTGGACCTTCTGTTTTTAGCATTCACATCTTCTGTAATTGTTTCAATCCTGCTGTTTATCAAATCATCAATTAATACTTGAATCACATTAGATATCGTTAGAAAATATGATTTGTCACTAAAAATTTGATCAAGTGAGTTGATAAATGAATTTTCAGAACTTCCAAAAGTGTTTCTAATGAGTATTTAAGATGCGTCGCATTTGTCACCTGATTATAGTGCAGTGGCCTTCAAGTGATGAATCAGAATTACACGTAATAGTATAAAAGTGTCACTGGTGATTAGGAAGAATAATTCAGGACTTTATCAAATCATCAATTATGAGAAACTCTCTTTCAACATCTGTCACTCAATTGACATCTCAAATGTCATTTGACAAAAACATGTGACATGCCCAAATATGGTCACGATTACATCACATCATTGCCATATATAGGCACATCATGACTAAACATGGGCATACAACCGTTTTTTTGTCAAAGAAAATGTTATTGTGTATTAAACAAAGCTTTAGAATTCAGTATACTTACGCTGGACTGCAATAATATCTTTGTTGAAACAACCCTGAAAGAAAATAATGACATATACAGCAGTATAATAAAAAAAAAACTTAATAATTCATTTAATCATTCATTCATCCATATGTTTGTCACAAAAAAATGGTAATATGGGGCTTGCCTTGCCAAAACTGGCATCATGTGACTAAAACAAGAAAATTAACAATATATATTCTCCACATTATAAATAAGAGCTTTAAAATGATAAGTAATTTACTGGAATCAATTTAATAATGCTAAAGTTATGAGTAAAAGTCTTACAGTTTCTATGTAGTAAAAAGTATACACAATACTGCCACAATTTTATGCTAACTACTCATTTTAAACGTGTAGCAACAGTACACTGATTTTGGGATGCAAGCCTCATTTCAATTTAATCGTTCATTCATTCATTTATATGTACAAGTTCATCACAAAACATGGTAGGCCTATTTTTATAGTAATGTACACGGCGATATGAAAAGAAAAAAAAAAAAAAACCAAAAATAAGATATTAGTTTTAATAGTGATTAAATTCATTATCACATATTGTTTGGAAAAAATTCTGATCTGATCCTGACTCAAAAAAAACAACCAAAAATAAGATATTAGTTTTAATAGTGATTAAAGTCATTATCACATATTGTTTGGAAAAAATTCTGATATGATCATAGTATTACTGTAGAATCGTAATTACTGTTTTTTGGCATGTGCAAGCGAGCTAAATTTAAATGTGATGATCCATAATTGCAAGTGTCTCTAAATAATAACATACCATAAGAATCAGCCATTAACATGCAAACATAAAACGACTATTGCAAATTATTATCATATTAAAGTCATATCATAATAGTGCAGAGATATTTAATGATCTGCATGCTATTAGTGTATGTTATCTCTAGAACAAATAATTCCCATCTCTATGGAAAATACGTTGCAATAAGAAATAATTGGGTAATAAAATTATTGATGATAGTCAACTTTCAAAAATTAAAATATTAGTGTGACCACTTTATGTGGGTCTCCCAAAAGTAGTGATAATATTGATCCTTTTCGCCTGTTAAATGTGTAAACATCCTTAGCCATCCAACATGGATTGGCTGTGATGATGTACAAAACAACGTTCACTTGCTCGCTGACCATAAAAACGTACTGTACATGAAATTATTAGTGTATGAAATTGCCACAAGTTTTCTTCCATAAAAAAAAATGAGTCATTTACTTTATGTTATATTTATGCTATGTTAATGGCAAAATATGAAAATCCATAAGTACTAATGTTACCCTCATTATTAGTTATGGCATCAATCATTCCACAATATGTAACAGCCTCGATTCCCTGCGGAATATTCCTAGCTGCATTTGGAATTTATCCTAGATTAATATCATTCCAAATTATTGATGTAACTACCCATATATATTCATGGGTGAACAGTGACAAACATAGATAAATTGTCTCGTGCAAGGACAAGTGATAACCTATGAAACTGAACTTAGGAAATATTTGGTTTAAAAAAAAAACCCTCAGCTCCATTTTCTTCCACATGCTATGTGCTATTAGTCAAACATTCATCTGATTTCAATAACTGCACCAGTGGCGGGTCCAGAAATTTAAAATTAGAGGAGGCCCAGGGGGTATTCTGATAGATGAAAGGTCTAGACCACCTCAGCCCCACAATGATTGAGGATGAGATGAAATATGTTATGATTAAGGCACCTTTAGGTAGCCAGAAATGGCACTCTTAAGACTTGATTTTTTTTTTTTTATTCATCATTTTTTATATATTTTTGAAAATTTTTTAGGGGAAATGGGGTATGACCGGATGGCTCCCTTTGAATCTGCCTGCAAACTTTGAATAAATTCCAAATAAAAAGAGGAGTGCTTCGATGTTTCAACTTTTAGTGGTCATCTTCAGGAATGAATTGTGACAATGACAAACTAATGACAAATTACAGTAGTTCTGTCCATACTATCAAATTTAAAGTGACCAAAATATGTGTGATTTACCCATAACTTGACCATGATGATGATATGTAATATGTAATGTTTTTAATTATTTTTTTTCCTTGTCAAGCTTGCGTTATCTAGGGAGTCACTGTCTTGACCACCATTTCTGAGCACCTATTTGTCTTTGAAAGGACAAATGTGTATCCGGTTCCTTTGATCGAGCACATCAAGGCAGAGGTCCAGGATTGCGCCAGAATGGTGGTGCATGGCGACTCCCTAGAATTTTTGCACAGATTTTGTCTTTGCCCATTTTAATTGGCATCTTAAATTTAAAAACACACAAAAAATTTGAGTGTTGTGTGCATGTTTATTTTGGTTTTATATGACTGGTATTTGCTGAAAGTTTTTTTATCTTATTTTTATTAATTAATTTTCTTTAAATATTATTATTATTGTTATTACTATTACTATTATTATTATTATTATTATTATACCCAAATATGGGCATATCACAATTATTTGTACCATGCAATTTAATACTGGTTAGACCATGAACAAAAACCAGCATTAATCGGAGACTGAAAGACGCTCAATAAATGAATCAAAAGTAAGTTAAACACCTAGTAAAAAAAATTAGATATGTAACCCTATACAATATAGTTTTTATTTTACATGAACTAGATATTAAGTGTTGAAAAAAAAAACTAGCCCATATTGTTTTATCAATAAGTGACAGGGATTAGGTTTTTGTTATACATATACTCTATGTCCCTTTTTCAGCCTGTATATTATCATGTCAAATATAATGCATTTCTGTGCCTAATGATTGAATGAAATTGATATCATCTGGATTAAAAGCATTTTATATTTTTCATGAATGACCTTCCTTACATAGCGAACTAGATATATATTTTTTTCGGTTTGTTTTCAAACAGTTAATGGAAAGCCGAGTGTGAAAATTTTATTAGAATCTTTACGGCAATATAATTACTTATTATTATCTATTATTATTAATTGTTAATTTATAATTGCTATTGTAATTAATCATCAATAATTTAATAGTGATCTTCAATGCTTTATATTATCCCGACCGTTCACAATTATTATCCAGACTATAATTTATATATTTTGACATATTAACAATAATTATTAAACTAATGTAAATATATAGTTGTTATATTTAATACTACAACGCTATATTTCGATGAGTTTGTGTCAGGAAAACATCATAGGAGTGATGTTTTGCCTTTAACACGTCAGGTAGAACAAAACCATCACTCATATATTAGCAATATTATTATTTATAATATTCGCAATACGTGATGTTGAACATGAATTTTTTCAATTTGTTTTGTTGTGTCTGTTTTTCTACCTTGAGGTATATCTTTAGGTACCGGAAAAAATTGATTATTTCTTATTTGGGCTGGGCCAGCGGCGGCACAGTGCCGCGCTGCCAATTTAACTACAACATGTAAACGGATACATTCAGATGCAAACACGTTCCTTATCCCACATAACTCTTAATGCGAAGGTTATTCGAGGAGACGAGCGATCAGACAGAATTAAATGCTGACTGGGTTTGAACGAGATATTTTATTACAAGAAGCAGGGAGCAATAGGGAGCCTTCGATTGCATGATGACGGTAGGACAATGATTTCTCGTTGTCGCCTGCATTCTGGGATGCAACCTGGACAAAACTACGATGTTCAGAGGACGGCAATGCATGAGTGAATCCGTTTTACTGTCGTGTTCCCTATATATCACATAATGCCACTTTGTTAAAACATAATAAAGGTTTGTAATTTTTTTAGAAAAGACAAGGAAATAAAAACATATCGGTACAAAAAAAATAAAATAAAAACAAAGATATCACCAAGCTCATCAGCAGTATTACATTAAAGGTGAAAGACCGGTCAGCTCATTATTCACATGACAAAAGAATGTAAACTTGAACTTGTTGGACAGCTTTGGTTTATACAACCCTACAGCAACACATTACCTTGTAAACTTGAGGTTGATGTATTATTTTAACTACGGAGGCTATGTATGAAGGAGACTTTTATTTCATGTCAAACAACAAGTACAGAAAGACAGACAGCTTAAACTGCTGATAGTAAAAAAAAAAAAAAAGAGAAAGATGAATAAATATTTTCAACATTGATGGCATATGCTTCACATAGCTCTTGTACTGTAATGCAGTATTAGATTGGGTAGAATTTAAGGAGGGAGTCTGGCAACACAAGCTTGGTATTGTGACTTGTACTCTGGGAAGATGAGCGTTTGGCCGAGAGGTAATGTTCCTGTTTCTTGTGCTGAAGACCACGGTTCAAATTCGGTCAACGTCAAATTTCAATAGACACATTCCGCTAGGTTGGTCATGTGATAATAGTGGGTATCAAATTGTAATGAATTAATAATTGTAATTGTACTGCTCGATAATAGGAAAACGTGTGGATTCTTCAGAGTGTCTGTGCTGTAAAGCAAATATTTGAATAATGTTGGTTGGAATGCCAGTAACTATACCAAATTGATTGGAAATGGAAAATTGAGAGTTTTTGTCATGATGGTTTGCTAATGCTCTGAAAGATAAACTGGCCGCAGACATTGAGATTTTTTTCGAAAAATGCTAGGCCTAGGCAAGGGTGGCGCCAGCAGGGGAGCCGGGGGGGCCGAGGGCCCCGGTCTGGAAGAGCTGGCTCCCCCTGTCGGGGAGGAAAAGCACAATTCGTCGGGGAGAAAAAAAAATTATGTATTTTCTACATATTTGTAGACTCTAAAATCGATTAAATAAGCCTTTGAAACCCCTAAACTGTCAAAATTTTTGGGGGACCCCCGGGACCACTTTCAAAAGATTTTCATTGAAGCTCGATCACGCCCACTTTGGTTTCGTCGGTGAAATCTGACCCCTCGTTGGGCCATCGGGCCCCCCCCCCGTCGGGGATATTGGCGCCCCCCTCGGGCCTACGACCTGTTTAGGTATGCACAGGGGGTCTTCGATCCGCGAAATATGGTGGGCGAGTGTTTTCGAAACCATAACATTACCCTTTCCTACACTTTAACACTGATCGCACTGTCAATT